CGTAGCGCCGAAGGATATAATGTCCGAGGTATTTAATAGTCTTCTCGACCGCAGTATATACAGGGTGAGTTTTTTCTTATTATTAGCTGTTACAAAGAAGGTCAAGTGAACAAAAAATTGTGATTTTGAATGCTCTACTCGAAACCAATTTTATTTTTCTAAAATTTGACAGCTGACAAGAGATATTTAAGAAAAACTTATTCGTCGTAAATTTTTAAATTACTCCTAGTTCCGTTGATATTAATTTGACAGGAAAGTATTAAATCGAAAACTTGTAGGAAATTGAATTCCAAACAAAATGACATAAGACATTTCTCCAAAGTCATTTTTGACATGACACAAATTTGAATTTTCTTAAATTGCAACCAAAATTGATTTTTGCTTTACCGATTACAGCATTTTATTAAGATTTCTGTGATGTATCACATCGTTAGGTTTTTCGAAAATAAAATGTCAACTTTATTTATGATATACGAACAATTTATACTTTTTCAATTTAGTTGATCGAAGTCAGCCATGGAACATGATATAATGTATATGTATGTATAAGACATACAGCATTGTTACCATAGTAACAAATTATAACAGTATGTTTCAGTATTTATTTTTACTACGTTAAATTTGGCGATAACTTTACTTTAATTAAGGCGGCTGCCCATTTAATGTTTTTATTAATAAAATCGGATCATACTAATAATAATTAAAATTTACCTCTAAAAACTTTAATTTTTGTTGTAAAACATTTTCAAAAAGTTCACCATTATTATCAAAGCAAATATTGCAACGCTTTAAAGCTGAATACTTTCCTTTTCTTGCGCACCAATCATCAATATTTTTAAATGCTCTAACAACAGCTTCTTTAAGTGCATTTAAATTCGAATATTGGTTTGAATAATTTTGTAACCTGCGTTTTTACGGCTCCCCACAAAAAGTAATCCAAAGGTGAAAGACCCCGTGGTTGAGGTGGCCATAAGATACGCCCTATTTGATTTTTTCGTCAGTTCGTTTCGTCCAATCCAAGCCCCCGGAAATGTTACGTCTAGGTGATTCCGCACTTGGGAAAAATTATGCGGAGGAACGCTATCATGTTGAAACCATTGCACATTACGCCATGCTTCTAAATCTAATTCGTCCGACAGAAAATTTAGGTTATTCCGAAGTATTTGTTGAAGATACCGACTCCCGTTAAATATGTGGATTCTGGCTCACATTGACCAAGACATTAACCTCCACAGCTTCACTTATTACTTTATCTACATTTCTTGGCTGTGTAAAACTTCGATAAGTGCCCAAATTGTCGTATAATCGTTTGAATGTTTGTTTGCAAGGCCGGTTGACGACGGTCAAAATACCTCTCAAAATAGTAATCAGAGGCTCGTCTAGCATTTTTATCACATCTAATGTAGGTTTCAATCATGTCGCGCTTTTCTTGCTTATTTGTTGCTATGGAAACAATGCTATATGTGCTATAAATGTATCAATAGTAGATCAACTAAATTGAAAAAGTATAAATTGTTCGCAGACAGTTTATTTTAGAAAAAATCCTAACGATGTGATGTATTACAGAAATCGTAATAAAATGCTTTTTTTTTGCCCGGCGGCTGGCGGAATAAAAATCTTCGCAAAGACACCCAGTGTTCCGAACCCTGGGTAGTGTTGGATTCTTACCAACTAATAAAACCCCTTTTTTTGTACTACGAGTTTTCGGGAGTTATCCTTTAAAACTTGTAATCCTCTCTAAGAATTTGTCAGCTCCAGCATCCGTATGCCATAGCATCGCATTCTCTCCATGCTAGCTGCTTGCTAGCATGGGCATCTTATTAATTTACACCTTACTTCTACATGCATGCTAATTACTACTAACGCTACATAACCACACTTACAGTTTACGCCGTTTGCTACCTGTTGCACTAGTGGGCTAGTTGGTGTCTGGGCCTTTCTTTCCTGGGTCCCAGATCTTCAGGCGTGTAATTTACCAGATTTCGTAGCTCTTCGTTGGAGTACCTTCCAGCTTTCTCGACGTCTTCTGCCGCTTTCCTTGTGAGAAACTCTCTTAGTGGCTCCCACTCCAGGTCCCTGTCGATTTGGGAGTTTCTAACAAACCAGGGCGCGCATCTACGGCCATCCGCAGAAGTTTGTTTTCTGTGGCCTGAAGTCTATTCAAGTGACACTCGGCCGCATATCCTTCCATCATTTGTCCCTCTATGGTGATATTGCCATCGACACTGTCCTGCTTCCTGCCAATAAGTATGGGCTGTCTCTTCTCTGCATTTATCTTCAGCTTCCACTTTATGAACCACTGATGTAGTTCGTCAACTGCAAGCTGGAGCTGTTGCCTGATGCAGTCCTTGCGCCATGAGGATGTCAGAAGGGCCGTATCATCTGCAAAGAGTGCCAGGGTCGTATTGGCAGATCTTGGGATGTCGCTCGTGAATAAAATAATCTAATCGGTAAAGCAATAATCAAGTATGGTTGTCAAAAATGATAGTTATTTGGGAGAAATGTCTTATGCTATTTTGTTTGGAACTCAATTTCCTACAAGTTTTCTATTTATTGTTTTTCTCTTAAATTAGTATCAACGGAACTAGGAGTAATTTAAAAATTTACCGTAGATAAGTTTTTCCCAAACATATCTTGACAACTGTTAAATTTAAGATAAATAAAGTTGGTTTCGAGTAGAGCATGCAAAACTACAATTCTTTGTGCAATTAACCCTTTTTGTAACTTATATAGTTTCGAAGATCCTAGTACTGGCCACCGGAAAAACTCACCCTGTATAGAACTTTTTTTACTTCTAACAGGGATAATTGCGAAAATGATTTAATTAATTATATTGCGAATTTCCGATTATTTTTCCAAGTGTCGCAATTTTTGATAGATGACGTTCAGTTGTCAAACTGACGCAATATAATTTTTCAGGCTCCAGAGAACAGATAAAAGTTCTATGGAAAACTTCTGAGAAAAGTTATTAAATCTTAAAGTTACCGTGATGTTAGCAGTGAAAATGGATGGAATATCACTTGAACTCACATAGGTGAGCAAACTAAAGACTTATTTTATTATTATTATTATTATTATTTACCTAAGGAGAGAAACATAACTTCTCACTAGGAAAATGGAGTAAATAACGGTGACTTCTCAGATTAGAAGTAAAAAAATTACAAGTTTTTAATCATGGGACTTTAAATTGTCTCAATGCCAATTTTGACACCACATAGAGCAAAAACTTAGAAAGTATTGTATAATACTTGCAATATAATACTCATATTTATAGAACTGAAAAAGTTATATTCAAATTCCGTTTGGAGTACTACCATAGAACAAACTACTACTTACCAAACACCCAGCTGTGTGGCTGTGGTACGATGGCGTATGCGTTGTGCGTTCAAAGAGCGAGCGTTGAACGCAGGAATGAAATACAGTACGCATACGAGATACGGTACTCGAGCCAGAGTCGTTCGAATTTCGAATGTTTGTTTGGATCAGCTGCTCATATGCAGTTACGCGCGCGGTACGGTGAGGTCTAACCTTAAAGTGCATTTCCAATTTAATTTTCCGGGAAACTTGTGATAAAAAGTGCTTTTTCAAGTAACGGAAGACCATTTTCAGAACGTTCGATAATTGGTTGCCGTATCACTTTATTGCCGGCAAAATTGAATGGAAACATAACGTAATAATAGCAAACTTTATTTTTTTTCCGGTCGAACTGTGGCAGTTTTCAACTCTGTTTACCAATAACAGAGCCGTTTACGCTAGTGAAAAGTGCTTTTCGTGGAAACTCGGACCAAAAACTGCTTATTGGCAAAATGTCGTCTCTGTTGAGTGCAGATTTAGCTGCAGCCTGTAATGCCCTGGGGTATTTCGACTCAAAATCGAATAAATATTACGCGGATGCAAATACCTTAGAGACTGTAAAGGATTTGATTAGATATTTGAGGAGGGACGATGAAACTCATGATATACGTAGACAGTTGGGGGAGACTCAAGTGTTGCAAACTGATTTGTTGCCCTTATTAAAAAGTTATTGGGAGGAGGCCGACTTATTTGACGTCTTGTTAAGGTAATGTACCAACAACCTTAGAATTTTATAGTTAACGTATAAAGGCTATTGTCAATTTGCTTAGTTTACTAATGGTGTTGTACCTGTTATGTTGATATATTCGACAATTATTTCGTAATGCTTTAATTTACTTAGCAAATTTTAGAGCAGTGGTTCCGAAAGTGGTCCCTGCGGACTCGAAGGGACCCTTGGGATCATTCTGGGGGTTCTAGGAAAATTAAATTCGATTTTGAGGTCCCTAAGGAACGTCAGGTGGTCCCCGCATGGTTTAATGCAAAATTATAGAATCGAACCCTTTTGCAAGTAGTCAAACTCAGAGCACAGATGCAGATCAATACATACTAATACAGAAGCAACTAAATTATCCACAAACAAGAAGCTGAAGCCAATGTTTAAACATGGATATGGCAATTTCTGGTTTCAAAAACAGATCCCTATTTATATCCATCATTATGGGTTATTGCATGTTAACTGCTCCTCTTATAGGCCTTTAGGGTAAATTTTCGAAAAAAAAAATTTCAATGTTTTTCTCGTACTCCGCAAGTGAGCCTCTATCACCCCTTAAAAGGAATGCCGCCAATTTGGAATCACCCTGTATATTTAATCACAGTAGTAACTTTTGGCCACTTTTGTTTTTGATTTTAGAATATTTTATTTGAAGTTTACCAATGGTAAGAATTATGTTTTTAATAAAGGAAATAATTATATATCATAACTGTTTCTACTATCATCATTGTGTATTTTTATTCTATACTTTTAATTAAATTAAAAAAATAAAAAAGTAACATGTTCCTTTTGGAACCGCATTTTGAGACCTATTATTAAGGGGAAACTGGAACGTTGTAACATTGTTACAGAAAAATAAAAATTAAATCATTTAATTAAATAACATAGTTAATGTGAGACTGACTTCAATGGAGGAAAATCGTGGAAGAAAGAACACTTTAAACCAGGAAACTGAAACCACGATAATTGAGTGCTTGCTGGCTTTATCTGACGCTAACTTATGGAGAAGTTTTGACAGCAGGAAAAGTCCTGAATGGGCTAAAGGTAGCTCAAGAAAAAAGTTTTTAAAAACAAGCGAATAAAATACCGGGTCCACAGAACAAAAAAAAAATAAGGAATGACAGGATGGCAGACGAGGAGACTACTAGAAATAGAGAAAAGAAAAAAACAAATAGAAGAAAGGAGTTCAGGCGATGAACTAAATGAACATTCGATATCACACGAAGTTATGGAGACTGTACTTTCGAGAAAATTTTCAATTTTTTTAGGAAGATCAAATTCCTTTAACTAAGACACCTATTTCAGAACCTAAATATGGAAGTTTTGCACTTGTACAATTTAAGGGAGGAAAAAGAAACACAACGACCTACAAATATGTATATTTTATAGAGAATATTGTTGATCAGGAAGTAGAAGTAGTTGGACTAAAGTCTATAGATAATACAAATTTGCTGTAGAAAACCAGATGCTGGGGATATTGCATTTCCCAAAATTAAGATGAAAGGAGAAATAATTTATTATAGCTTTGAAAAAGTAGTTCCAGTGTTGGAAAGTTAATGTTTATGTTATTATTTAAGATGGAGTTTTATTTATACTTTTATTCTTTTCTTAAAGGTTTATATCTCGAGTTTCTAAGTAGTTTTTAAGTTTCCATGTTATGATTAAAAAATCTAAATTAAAGCAAAACATGTTGTATTTAATTCTGTTGAGGTACATGTAAATATGAACCTAAATTAATAAACTTAAACAGGATTTCAGTGGTAGGTATGTACTCACATACGTACTTATCTGCTAATTTTCAGGCAACGTTTGGAACAAATCAACTTGATATGCTCAAAAATACAAAAACCTTTTTTCTAATTTTTGGTCAATTTGTAGTAGGTACCTAACTAACCTGGTGGAAATCCACATAAGAAAAGGGGATTTTGTTCTTTAAAGCTTGTTATCCCACACTCGTACCTACATAATCACAACGATGTTTTGAAACAAGCCTCAAGGCAATATTCAGCTACCCACATCTCGTATGTAAACAACACCGCTGTGTTTTAGAGCAAACGGAGCGCATAATTTATTTTGCAAAAGTATAATATGTAAATCTTGAAATAGGACCCCCGTAGTTACTGTCGCGAAGTTGTGAAGCTTTCGGCTTAGACTTACTTCGGTTGTTTTTAAAGCGGTATCAAAATTTAATCCGAATTTAAATGTTTAATGGAGGTAGGCCGAGCGGTAGGCTTAACTTCCAAAGATTTAATTTGTCCGTCCCTTTATTCAATTTGATGTATATATGGAGACGCTCTTTTGAAGTTTACAAAGTTTAGGCTAGCATGTTTCACTAATGAAAGATAAATCTAACTCACCTTTTTACATTTGCTAATTGGATATTTGTCATTTAAGTATTGCAGTAACGGAATACCCAAGGCGAGATACCTACTACGTTAAACATAATGTAGACGGTTTACCTGTATATTAAAACTTTGATCTATAGTTTTTTTTGTAACAAATGTCATTATTTTCAAAACAGCCTACGAAGTCTGGACACATTTCCAAATAAGTGATTGAGTTATTATTTGAGAAACTGCAATGTTGATTCATTAAATCATAATAAAAAAAGATGCACTTTAAACTGGAAGCATTCCAATGATATGCTACTTAAGTTATAGTCCAATCATATATTAATTATTTGAAGGTGAGGAACAAGTGATTAAAAAAAACAGATAATAAGAATAAGATGAGATAAAACATAAGGTAAAGTCATATACAAAAACAGAAAACAACATCCTTTTGAATTGTGTATTAGGTACCTACTTAACACATGACATTCACTGTAGAGATCACTAACAAAGCTTTCATTTATCGCTTTTTGAAATTCACTATTAAGAGTGGGTTTTAAGAGTCGTTTTGTATTAGGTGCTTTTAGTTTTCATGCAGTTGTGTAGAACAAATCATAAAAAAATCCAGTTTTGCAGAATTTAAAGAATGAGAGATCATTCTTTTTTTAGATCTTTTTATGCCTCTCCTGGAAATATTAACGACAATAATTAAACTTATGACAAAAAATTACTAATTAGGTTTGTTTGGTTTAGTTATGTGTCTATTATAAATTTGATCATCAAAATAATGACATTGCAAATAATTATTTAAAAACTACTTCGCTCAATTAACCGTTAATCATCAACTAATTCTTATTTTGCAAAGTAACATTTTCAGCAAGAGTAAATAATCGAAGTCAAGTCTCGGCTGTTTCTTAATCTGAATAATTAAGCTACACCAGAGTGAAGTGTTTTGGAATAAACAGAAACAAAATATTAATTAAGAACAATGTGATGCAAAACTAAAAATTTTAAAACTAGAATTTTTAGTAAAATTTCTTATAATAAGTTTATTAACGATTAGGTACTTATTCCATTCTTTGAATTACTTGCTGAGTGGCGCTTTTATTTAATGCAGCATAGAAAATACATATTATATAAACACAAGTATATTTATTATAGTACTTACAAAAGTAATTGAAGAAAGAGCCAAAATAAGTAATGTTGTAGTACATATATATAAAGGATACAAAGCAAATTATTTTTCTATAAAATCTACTCCGTTAAGTACCTACTTTAAATCTTTATACGATAAGCAGCAGCGCAGATACTAGTACGGCCTTTAACCATACGTTTTAATAATTGATGTTTTTATGGCCATAACTGTATGTGCAGTTCAATGTGCAGTTCTCGAAACTATAAGCAAATTTATGTTTGACTGCAAGAATTCCCATCAACTAAGGGATTGAATTTTCGTCGGAAGTCAATGCTGAAAGCAATATCATCACAACGATTTCCAGAATAAATTGAAAAGTTTTGTCCCGAGATTCTGCTCGATTTCAAACAATTTTCTTTGGGGAATGAGAACTCAATTTCCTGTGTTTAAACCGTCATTTCACGAATGGGTTACTACGCGGAGTTTCAGTATATTGTGCTTCTTTATGAACCTTAAGATTTTATCCTTATGGTGTCAGATATGTTTTTGTATTGCTTCGTTAGATAGTTGCATTTATTCTTAAATTTTATAGTTGGCCTCATTTTCAGATTGATCGTTAACTTAACAACTCCAGCCCTTATATTGTGGAATGAGCAAATACCGACAGAAAAAATTGAGCGAAATTTCTATCTTCGAGTCGAGGATCATCTTCAGAATTATAAGGAGGCTTTTGCAGATGAAGCAATTTGGGCTCTGCTCAGTACAAGATTGGGCAAAATACTCGAAATTGTAAGTTGTAACACAAAGCGCATGCTCTAAAATATACGTACCTAAGTATGTTATATCTGCTACATTGGAAGCTAAAATCACAGCACCAGCTATAAATTATAAATAAGTATAAACTGAAAATTGATGAATGAAAACGAAATAAGTACTGACATTAAACTCAAAACATTGTTTAACATTATCTAAAAATACGATTTTAATTTAAGTTATGAAATTCTTTCAAAACCGCGGTTTCCAGCGCAATTTTTAGCCAAGTTTTCCGGAGCGAGATCACAAATATGTTTAATCCCGTTCAGGTCAAGACTACGCACGGGACTTTGTCGTCCATGTGAAGTGCAAAAGGTGCATGTTGTTCCGAAATCTTTCGGATGTGAAAGGTTTATGTTTATGTGTTTAAAATAAACAAACATATAGAAAGTAATGAATAATCTAATATAAATGCAAAACTTTTTTTCTATTCGGAGCTACAAGTTAAGCCATTTAATATGTGAATAACGCACCATTAAAAGGTCCACCTGGGCTTCGACTACAGGAGTGAATTCGATGGACTCACCTTTTGATGACTTTTCTTTCAAAAAGAAGTATTATATTGTGGGGGTACCCGATGGGTCCGGCGAGTAGGCCGTGAAGGCCCGTTTTGCCATTCCCCTCCATCCATTCCCACCTTACGTGATCTTCGCCACCCAGGCGTACCGTCTCCCTGACAAAGGCAAGGATCCGTCTTCACTCCAAAGACGACAATTCGTTTTCCCCAACGTTCTCCCCAACCAGAGTTCTCAGGGCATAACGACTCCTAGACATCAACCATTTGGATGTTGTTTTGGCGTCACTTGGGGTTTGAATCAACTCTTTGGCATGTCTACACTCTTCCGCCTTTCTCCACATCTCTGTGGTGGCTCTAAAAGCCTAGTCATTTAGAACTCTTGCTATCTATCGGTTACTTAACTCTATGTAAGGTTTGGTAGTTATTGGGTTCTTAGAAGGTCCGAGCCTTGCCAATGCACCAGCCCGCTTGTTTACCGCAATTCCTGTTTGCGCCGGAATCCACACCAAGTTTACTTGTTTCTGTTCTGCCACTCTGTTCAGTGCATCCCAGAAATCCTGGATCAGTCTACTGCCCATCTTAACACTTGAGAATGTCTTGAGGGCAGCGTGGGTGTCGGAGTAGATCTCGATCACCCCCTCTAGTCCTTCGGTAACTTCCCCAGTGAAAGGTGTAACTCTTGTGATTGTAGTGAAATCGACAAATTTGATACTTCAGTAGGAGTGGCTCTTACAGCATCAACATTTCCGTTACTTCTTGCAGTTGTATGTGGACTGGTGGCCCAGTATCACCTAAAGTGTAATCACGCTCAAACTTACCAACGATTAGACGAATAGTATGCACAGATGTAGGATAATTTTTAGCCACCCGAAATATTTTCAGCCAGCCACCACGTAACGGCAGTTGGGAAACCATCATCATCAACCAGCCCCTAGAAAGTCCACTGCTTGCATGTATACATGCACTCTCTCATGGCCCTCCATCCATTTCTATCTCGGCCTGCCTGGATCCAATTATTTGTGATTCTTTTTAGGTCACGGTCCAAAGTGTAGGTTGCTTTCCTCTGTTTCGCTTATCGGTGCGAGGTTTCCATTCCAACGTCCTCTTGGGCTTCCATAGGAAACTATACATGCTTGCATCTTTCTTCTGATATTTTCCTGACTGCACCAGGAAACAAGACCTTTTGATTCATTCAAATTCCATTCTATATGTTCGCGAATAAACTCAAGCCTTGCTTGCTTGTCTGCACGATTAAGAGAGGACGTTTTTCGGGATCTATTGCACTCAATCAACAATCACTGAGCAACATTTCGGGCATTTGGAAATGGGAATTATATATCTCATTTGCGTTAAAAGGCCATTTCTTTTAGAATTTACAGTAGCATAAAAAGCGCAGTCTTTGTTTGGGAGTCTTGAAAGTCCTTGCGCTGGTCTTCTAGAATGGCAACCTGATCTATTGAAGCTCTGAAGACATCGATCAAACTCGCGTGTGATGAACAACCAATCTTCGGGCGTTGGGAATATCTTTCTTCTAATAAAGTGGCCATTTTCCCCGCATGAGTCACTTTAATTCTTTGCGGTAGAGATTTCCATGCGTATATACATCAAGCGTCATGAAAAACAGACCAGAAGTTAGGAAAAAGCAAGACAGTAAAATTCGAAACAGTACCACACATGTTCAAACCAATGATGCAAAGTTAATTTAGTTTAATTGCACAAATCAAGTAGAAAATTTCAGTGAAATAATTATTCGGCAGAAATATCATTTGGAGGTGTACCATGTTACGTGTGTACGTGATTTACCAGCCTACTTGAACGAAACATTTCTCAAGTGTATGGTGGTAATTTTTTTGGTAATTTTTTCCTTCAGTGTGGATTAATTTCAACTATCGATTATTTTCACGCTTCATTAGCATTAAATAAGTGTGTGTCATATGTGCTATTGTATTGATTAATTTTCAAATAATGGGTAAACTGACTAATAAACCTATTTTTTTTACATGGAAGTTGAAATTGCATATTATTATTTTAAGAATTGAACTTATACATATTTTCACTAAATTGATTTTCCACACATTAACGTCACATTTAACTGAAAACATAACATTAATTTGAAACTATTATCGGATATTGAATTTATATAACACATTAAATTATAGTCCTCCTAGAACACTGGGGAATTTATGATAGTATGAATGTACTAAACCAAAAGGTCTTTAATAAACGTGGCTTTTAGCACCCTATTTTCCTACCGACGTGTCAACCCTCTGGAAATAACATGACGTGAAGCGGCAATTTACGGGAAAATAAGCATATTTCCTCATTAATTTTTTTACTCATTCTTCAAAGCTTAGCCTGAATACTTCACGCAAAAACAAGGCATAAAGACTCCGACACAAAAGACCTGAAAAGTAAATTAATTAAAGTTTTATGGGGACATTATTAAAAGCCTAAATCGCAAGTTAGGCGCTTACCGAAAGTCTCTAGGGACGAGCTTAAGGTTTCTTTTCTTTTCCTCAGAGAATTCCATTGTCGAGGTTTCCCCGTTTTGTTTCAGATTCCTTTGTACTAAACTGAAAACAATGGATATAGTTTCTTTAGGGTTAGTACATTTTACTTTATTTATTTTTATGTCTTTGTTGTGCCGCCGGTGAATCATCTTTGTAAAGTTATTAGTTTTTCTAATTATTTACTTACTAAAGTCACAATGAAATTTTTCAAAATTTTAGAGTAGACATTAAAATTGTTGAGAATATCCAAACAGTTAAGGGCTGTGATAGAAACACTCTTCATACTAGTAAGTATTTATTTCGCCACATTTAAAATATTTTTGATTACATTACATGCAGAAACGTAGAAAGTCTTCTTTTTCGCCGCAAAGGTCTCGACAATTCGATAGTAAGTATCTACGATAGTCATACTTAAATGATCCTATTAAATTCTGCTCTTCTGTCATATTTATTATACAATATTTTATCTTATTTGTTCCAGACGTGTCAGATTTATATGCAAACAGGGATATTTAAAACATTTATTCATATGTTTATGACTTGCTTGACTTTGATCGGCCCAAAATGAAAGTTCTGTCGTTTTGGTTGTTTAAATAAGTACTGGGTGATTCATTAACAATGGGACAACCAGAATCTAGAGATTTCACATGTCAGATGATGGCTTTTGGCGCCAGCATGTTCTGTCCGAAAGTTCATATTTTTGGAAAGACAGGGTGTTAAAAGTGGTAATTTAAATTAGTTTTTCTTTCATTATTCTGAATATATGTGGATTAGAAATTAAAATTTTTATGACGCTATGGTTTTTTTTTAATTACGAATAATATAAGTCTTGCTGTTTTCGCGTTGAGGTTGATTTAATGAAGGCCGTTACTTCCGACCATTTTGGCAAATTTTACATTTTATGCTGATCAATCTGTATAAAAGCTTAATACATGCTTGCCTAAGTAAATTACACTTTTTTTGAGACTGCAAACTCCCATTGCACAATATTTTATCATTTGGGCAGAATCGGTAATAACGCTCAGCACTGCATTTGTCATTTTATATAATAAAATATAAATATTTTAACCAACTAAAATAAGCAACTTAAAGAACCACTTAAAAAATTTACTGTACAGGGTGGGCCAAATTGGAAACTTTTAAATGGAAACTACCATTTCTATACCAGATAGACAAAACTGATGTCAGTGTCTGAGCCTAGATTTTTATGGCAAAATTAATGACGAAAACCGTCAATATCTCTAACAGTTTCCGAGATTGAGCGTCTTTTTCGGAAATCTGCATTTTGCGAAAGGCTCTCTAACTCTGTATATTTTGCCACATTGAACTTCCGCTTAAAAATAACTTTACAAACATATATCACATTATTTGTATTACTGAAGCATTCCATGATACCTATTAGAGCTTAAAAGTTTCTTCAAGTTTAAATGACAACCCAAAAAAAAATTACAGGAAAAGAGTTAGATAGCTTTTCCAAAAGTGCAGATTTCTGGAAAAGCTGTATCTCGGAAACTGTTAGATATATTGACATACGGTTTTCGTCATTAATTTTGCCATAAAAATAGAAGCTCAGACCATTGAAAAGTGTCCAATTTGGCCCACCCTGTACTAAGCAGAGTTGCGTCAACATGACCAGAAATTATTCGACTTATTATAACTATATTTTTAAAATTACGAACAGCAGCCTATATTCGCGGGACACTCTGTATAATTGGATAATCTGCATATAAACCCACGCTAATTTACGAAAAATTATCAGGTCAAATTATGCAGATTATTTTTAGGACGCTGTCCTACGTATTTAAAACTGTATCAACCAATTTCAATGTGTTACATAAAGATAGCACATTCTATTCAAAATAGTTCTTCAACAGAAAACCATATCGCTTCTCACGGAGGAATTTTCATTAATTTTCGTTAAGTACATAATTGACCCTGTATAATATAAATATTACAGAGGGGCAAATTTATTAGTTATCTCACAGGCAATTATAACCGACATTTGGGTTAAAAAACGATTCATCCTTAACACATACCCGCGCGTATACTCCTTTGTCCTAAGCCCCAGTAACCTCATAGAAGGAACCGATTTTCGACATCTAATCCTGAATCACCAACATTGATTCACGTTGTTTGGAAGTAGTAGAGCAGTTGCTTTCTTGCTTCTCTCTTATCGTTGTTGTTCAGGTTCACTTGCGGCCTTTTCAGTCAAGACACCTGGTCGGTAAAAATTAGCATATTTTTCATATTCACGGTTGTATTAGGACTTTTGTTCACTTGTAACCCGTTTGACAGTTGGTTTTTTTGTTTTCATCGTTAGACGATCGGAAACTGGGGACAAAAGTGACCGGTTGTCAGTCGCCCCTGTTTTGTTCTCTATAGTAAGTCTCGGTACTCACAGGAATCGATAAAGCGGAAAGCTTTATTGTTCATTTTCTTTTCCTTCCTTCTCATTTGCAATATTGGTTCATGTCTATGAGCTGCCGTAGACTATTTTCATAAATTGTAAAATGTTGTAATATTTAATATTTGGTTATTTATATTTTAATATTTGATAATTGATTTTATACAGCATTATCCGCAAGAGTCTTATACTTTATGTCTCTGAAAAATAGTATAGGGTGATTCAAAATTGACGTCATTCCTTTTAAGGGGTGATAGAGGCTCCCTTGGGCGAGTACCAGAAAAATATAGAAAAATTTTTTTTTCGAAAATTTCTAGAAGATATTAACAGTTGAAGATCGAATTTCAACTTTGTTATTAAGCATTATTTTGAAAAAATCCCACGTTGGATTGG